GAAACGTAAATACCTTTCCTAGGTTCACATGTACGGGTGTAATGAATGTGATTACGAAACTAAATACAAAAACAGTATCAAATATCACATGTTGGAGCATAAACATTTCTTCTAGATCTAAACATACAGATGTAATAAATGCATTTAAAAACCCAAATAAAAGAGCTCTATCATGTGTTGAAGCATAGAGGCCCTTCTCAAATGCAAATGTACCAGTGTGATCTGTGGGATTTGCTAACTAAGGTTCGCAGCTGTAAGTTGCTGTCCATCGATGTGCAAAATACCAGTCGAAAATGGTGATATTGAAGAGCTACAAATGTGAATAGGACACCGATCATAAATATTGGAATAAGATGTAAAACATAATACCTACCTTGAAAAACATTGGTTGAAACATGAAAACCTTACCATAGTCCAAGCATTATAGAGAAATGCTTACAGAAATTATTACCTGAGCCAAAAAAAATATCCCTATAGAAAATTAAATTTTAAATTGAGTTTCTTGTTCTTTAACTCGATCCAAAATGGCGATCATGGTTAAAAAAAATCGCAAAGTTGTAAAAAACGGTTTTTCTAAAATAACTGAAAAAATATAGCACCGATTGAAAAATTTTAAATGAGAAAGTTGTAAGTTTTAAAAAGATCTATCGACTGATTTTTTGTAAGTATCGTTTGCTTTGTTACTTTTCGAGATATATCGAAACAACCGTTAAAAATCTTCTCATTTCTCTTCTATAACTCGTTTACATTTATGTACTCATATTTGCTATTTACTGCAAGCATAGCCCGTGGCAAGCCAAAAAAATACATTTTTGAAAAATTTAAGAATATCAATTATTTTTAGATAAATCGATTTTTTGAAAAAAAGGCGCTCTCGAAAATTGGCTAGATCTTCTCAGCGGATGGCCCTACAGTAACGATTTTCAGTTTATTTTCTTCGTAAAGAGTTATATTATCATGCCGTTAAAAATGTTGACGATTTTATTAATTTTAAGGATCAAAAAATGACTGAAAAAGTTGCACTTTTATTTTATGAAAATGACTTTTAAAGAAAGAAACTGCTGAAATTTTTTCACCAATTTAAAAAAACAATGTTTTTCTACGACCTTCTGAAGCCGAGATAATTTTTTTATTTAAAAAAAATTTTAAGGACGCAATAAACATTTTACTGCGAGGCGCTTGATGGAGGCTAATATTGAATACATATATTTTCAAAAAAAATAGTAGGATATGTACTTGATACTTGATTTTTAGTATTAGTAATTGAGTAATAAACTGAAGCGTGCAAGCGCTGAGTGCGTCAGTTGGACCGTACGGAGAAGTAGGGGGAAGTGGTGTGCGCTCGCTCTGTAATTGTTAAAAAGCCAGCAACAAGTACGTCAGTATGATTAATGAAAAAAAAAAAAATTAAGGTATTACACGAAAACTACTGTAATATAATTAATTATTAAAATGACGAAAAATGCAAAAAAATGTCAATTAAATAAAAACTAAACATTTACGGCTATTTTGCCCTAAGGCGAAAATGACTATAATATTCGTGTTTAGCTACCCCAGAATTTTTGTATGTGATCCAGAAGCCGAAATATCAAAGATTTTGCAAGCGCGAGTCATTTAGACTCCACGCCATCAGTTTTCAGAGCGAGCGCGCCGCTTCCCCCTACTTCTCCGTCCGGTCCAGCTGACGCACTCAGCGCTTGCACGCTTCAGTTGATTACTCAATTACTAATACTAAAAATCAAGTAAACATATATTTCTATTTTTTTTTTTTTGAAAATATAATTACTCAATATTAACCATACATCCATCAAGCGCACCGCTGTAAAATGTTAATTGCGTCAAAATTTTTTTTAAATAAAAAAATTATCTCGGCTCCAGGTCGTAGAAAAACATTTTTTTTTAAATTCCTGAAATAATGTCAGCAGTTTCCTTGTTTAAAAGTCATTTTCATAAAATAAAAATTGAAATAATTATTTGAAAAAAACACCCAAAAAAAGTGCAACTTTTTCAGTCATTCTTTGATCCTTAAAATTAATAAAATCATCAACATTTTTTAACAGCATGATAATATAACTCTTTACGAAGAAAATAAACTGAAAATCGTTACTGTAGGGCTATCCGCTGAGAAGATCTAGCTAATTTTCGAGAGCGCCTTTTTTTCAAAAAATTTATATATCTCGAAAAATAATTAATATTTTTAAATTTTTCAAAAATGTACTTTTTTGGCTTGCCGTGGGCTATGCTTGCAGTAAATAGCAAATATGGGCACATAAATGTAAACGAGTTATAGAAGAGAAAAGAGAAGATTTTTAACGGTTTTTTCGATATATCTCGAAAAGTAACAAAGCAGTCGATACTTACAAAAAATCAGTTGAGAGATCTTTTTAAAACCTACAACTTTCTCATTTAAAATTTTTCAATTGGTGCCATATTTTTTTAGTTATTTTAGAAAAAACGTTTTTTGCAACTTTGCGATTTTTTTTAACCATGTTCGCCATTTTGGATCGAGTTTAAAGAACAAGAAACTCAATTTAAAATTTAATTTTCTATACAGTCATATTTTTTTTGTCCAGGTAATAATTTCCGCAAATTTAACATTAATCCGTGACAGAATGCTTAGACTACAAAGCAGAATCCGGCAAGTGACTCAAATTTGTAGAAATCTCTAGTATTTAATTATGAACTGAAAAGCTTCCTGTTTCTCACAATGTAACTATCTGCCGAATGACAAACGTTTATAATTTCGACATATTGTATGAAATGTGTATATATTTTAAACAGCTGATTCAGTATACAACATGTAATTAATAAAAAAGTCTAATTTAAACACGCATAATTTTTTTAATAGAAAGCTATTGAGGACTGCTGACCACTGTGTATTTACACGGTAGATGAACTGTGCAGTGTTGCCAGTGTTATATACAGGATGTTCAAATTTTAGTCCAAAGCAAAGTTTATGTGACAAAGTGCAATTTTTCTTGGTTATTCCATCCACCCTCAAAGTCTGATAGACGAAAACTGGTACCGACGCATATATATGTATGTTATATACCCAATAAAGCATTGTTTTTTCAGTAATTTTGAAATATCTTCACATAAATGTTCAAAGCCTCTTCCTGCCCTGGTTTTCAGCAGTATTATCTGTCTCGTTTTTTACATCAATATTCAATTGTCCACGTGACTTTTGAGACGAGCGTTGCGGTAAACCAGAAAATAGTCCTTTGAAAAGTATTCTTTTCCCAACAGGGGAGTTTTTTTATTTTTTTTATAGGATGTAACTTTAATTTGGGATAAGTTTTTTTAGGGGTAATAGTACAGGTTCCCCTGATGAATCCGAAATTCTTTTTTTTAATCATATAAGTAGTATTGTTGTATACGCTGCTACTGGTCGGCGTAAACCGAGATACCCGGAATTTGCGTATTAGTACACTATCAGTGTTGCCAGTTTTTAAATTAACTTACATTGTGCGAGTTATGGAAAATAATTTAGTTAATATAGATTGTTTTTGTATAACTTAGCGACGTGTGATTTTAGTCACCACATTTTTTTGATATCACTGTGGACGAAGCGCCAAACGTTAAAAAGAAAACCTTTTTTAAAAATTAAAAATGTTCACAATTTATTACTTATTGACCAAAATTGGTATGTAGATACTTTGCTAATTGTAAATAAAGCCAATTTATGTTTTAAAATAGTTATTTTGGCTGTTCTAAAAAACAAAAAATTGAAAATTNCATCCACCCTCAAAGTCTGATAGACGAAAACTGGTACCGACGCATATATATGTATGTTATATACCCAATAAAGCATTGTTTTTTCAGTAATTTTGAAATATCTTCACATAAATGTTCAAAGCCTCTTCCTGCCCTGGTTTTCAGCAGTATTATCTGTCTCGTTTTTTACATCAATATTCAATTGTCCACGTGACTTTTGAGACGAGCGTTGCGGTAAACCAGAAAATAGTCCTTTGAAAAGCATTCTTTTCCCAACAGGGGAAAATTTTTTTATTTTTTTATAGGATGTAACTTTAATTTGGGATAAGTTTTTTTAGGGGTAATAGTACAGGTTCCCCTGATGAATCCGAAATTCTTTTTTTTAATCAAATAAGTAGTATTGTTGTATACGCTGCTACTGGTCGGCGTAAACCGAGATACCCGGAATTTGCGTATTAGTACACTATCAGTGTTGCCAGTTTTTAAATTAACTTACATTGTGCGAGTTATGGAAAATAATTTAGTTAATATAGATTGTTTTTGTATAACTTAGCGACGTGTGATTTTAGTCACCACATTTTTTTGATATCACTGTGGACGAAGCGCCAAACGTTAAAAAGAAAACCTTTTTTAAAAATTAAAAATGTTCACAATTTATTACTTATTGACCAAAATTGGTATGTAGATACTTTGCTAATTGTAAATAAAGCCAATTTATGTTTTAAAATAGTTATTTTGGCTGTTCTAAAAAACAAAAAATTGAAAATTCTAATCTGATATGAAATACTTTTTAAAATCAATTCAAGTTTTCGCAAACAATCATATGTATTTAATTTGTGAATTTCAAAGTGGATGACCTCTGAACTATACTACTGCCACCACGTACAGGGTGATTCACTGTAAAGGGGCGGAGGAGGGTCAAAATATAGTGAATCACTGTACTACTCTTATGATTATCAAATTGTTAATTCTTTATTTAGATTTAATACGAAAAAGTTCAAGAACAAAACAAAATATATTCTAAATGCGGGTATAATTCGCGATGAAATTTGTGTCCAGCATGACTAGCTGGACTCGATTTCAGAATGACAAATATTTTTTCTAATCCATCCATTTAAATATATATTTTGAAAAACAGTGTTCAGACGGAAGCTAATGATTTCGCCAATTTTGCCAATTTATACAGTACGGATTTAGTTTAAAAAAAAAACAACAGTAACTGGTTTAAAGGATGATATAATTCTATTATGTATTAATTGTAATTAATAAACAATTGGAGAATTTATTCAAGTTAAATCAAATCCTACAACGAAGATTAAAAATGCACAATTTAAATGTTTACAAAATCACAGAAAAATAAGGTAGTTGCTGCAAAATATATTTAGTAAGTTACAACAATCTTCTCGTCTACACTGGTCACTCTCAATTGTGTTCAATTTATGATATACTTTGCACTTCACACTTGCATATTTTTCTGTTCATCGATTGCTGTCTCACAAATCACACTAGCGAATCACACCGGTATATTTGCATTTAAGAAGACTGGTATTTGACATCTGATATTGTTCTTGTATTTAGTTTCGTAATCGTAGTTGCAACCCCTTCACGATTTGAACCTGTGAAGGATCTTCATGCTTCAGTTGATTTTTTGTGATATTCCTTTATTTACTTTTAAAATTACAGTTGCTACACTTGTACATTTGAACCTATGCATTTGGACTTGCGACGGATCTTTATGTTTCAGATGGTGCTGTTTGATAGCATTCTTGTATTCAGTTTTGAAGTCGCAGTCATTACACCTGTAGATTTGAGTCTGTGATGCCTCAGTTGGTGCGGTTTGATATGACTCTTGTATTTAGTTTCATAATCGCAGTCATTGCACCTATACATTTGGATCTGTGAAGCATCCTTATGCTTCAGTTGGTGTCGTTTGACATGACTCTTGTATTTAGTTTCGTAATTGCAGTCATTACACTTGTACATTTGAACCTGCGAAGGATCTTTATGTTTGACTTGGTGCATCTTGAGATAACCCTTTGATTTAGTTTTGTAATTGCAGTAGTTACACATGAACGTTTGAACCTGAGAAGGAACTTTATGTTTCAGTTGATGTTGTCTGAGAGAACTCAAGTATTTAGTTTCGTAATTACAGTCGTTACACTTGTACATTTGAACCTGCGAAGGATCTTTATGTTTCAGTTGATGTCCTTTCATATATTTCTTGTATTTAGTTTGGTAATCGCAGTCGTTGCACTTGTACATTTGAATCTGAGAAGGATCTTTATGTGTCAGCTGATGCTTTTTTATATCACTTTTGTATTTAGTTTCAAAATTGCAGTTGTTACACTTGTACATTTGAACCTGCGAAGGATCTTTATGTTTCAATTGGTGCCTTTTGATAACATACTTGTATTTAGTTTCGTAATCGCAGTCATTACACCTGTACATTTGAATCTGTGAAGGATCTTTATGTTGCAGTTCATGCTGTTTGAGAGAACTCAAGTATTTAGATTCATAACTGCAGTTGCTACACCTGTACATTTTGACCTGTGAAGGATCTTTATGTACCAACTGATGTCTGATTAAAAAATTCTTATTTATTGATTTGTGGCTGCAACTATCGCATTTGTAAATTGGCAGCTGTGAAGAAGTGTCCTTATGTGGCATTGTGTTGCGTTTGGTTTTATAATCACACTCGTTACATTCGCTTGAACCTCTCTTCTTTGTATGATTATTAAAGCTGGCCCTCGACTTTGTTTTGAAATTACAAAAGTCACACCTGTACAATCTTGCCGTAGATTCACTTTTGTGTTTCACTTGATGCCTATTAAGGTTACTCCTGTACTTTGTCTTGTAATTACATGATCCGCACCGGTGCATACCTATTTCTGGAGCAAGTTTATGCCTCAACCGGTGCCTCTGAAGTAATTTCTTGTTTTTCGTTTCGTATTTGCACGTTTCACATTTGTACAGTTCCGAATTGTTCTCGTGACTCGCACAGTGTGCTGTAAAATGGCTCTTCATTCCAGTTGTATAAAAACATTTATCACATTTATAACATACTTTGTGCTCCTGTTTGGTTTCCGTTTCTGATCCATCCTCGTGTTTACATTCGTCCTCTTCTACTTCGTTACACTCACTTTCCTCGAATGGTGCAATGTCAGAGCTCTGCAGTTGCGTGTCGCTGAAAAATAAAAGATTTTTAAGAGCAGACATTCTTGCATTTGAAGTTAATGTGACTTCTGATACTCATATCATTAATTATATACAAGGTGTTCCATCTAAGAGGGATTCTTCTCTAACTCTGCAACTGTAAAATTTATAAAAAAAATGGTTTTAATAAAAGTTGTCTGGAATTATGTGGGCCATGAGGAAAATATTTTTAGCTTTACAGGGTGTTCCATTTCACGTGGACGCTACATAACTTTGTTATTTTAAATGGAACGCCCTATATATTATTGTGGTTTTGAATTCCTTAGTTAATTCCTTAGAAAGTGTTTGCAATATTCTTTATAACCACCATAGGAAATAACTTTTTTTCCATTTATTTATCACCAACCCAGTAAACTAGCGTGGTAATTACTTGCTTCTACTAGAATGAATTTTCATTCATTTTGGTAACACAAGTTAATAGTTTGCAGTAATGGTTCAACCATATATTTAAACATTGTTACATTTAATTGTACGAAATTAATGTAAAAGTTTTTTCATACCTCTTTTCTTCATCTTCTGATTTTATATCAACACATTCATCTTTGATTGACAATTCCATCTCGTTAATATCAAATTTTTTATATAAGTTTTCAGTTTTAATAAATAAATCACACGGCGATGTTTCTATTTGACTTTCTGTATCTGGACTAAGAATTTCCTTTACCTCTGAGCAATCTCCCAGGAAAGTGTTGTGGGTACACAGAGAATCGAAGCATGGTTTACATACAACGGGATCTTTGACGATATTTACAATCTGCAAAGTAGTTATTTTTAATTCTGGAAAATGCAAGTGTTTCATATATTTGGTACCATTTCAGGAGCCAATTTCTCAATAGCTTCAAGTTCCTCTTCACGTATGCTCCTAAACTCACTTTCTACTGGCTGCATACACAGTCGACATATTTTCTGATTGTCTGAAATATCCGTTAACTCGCTTCCCTGTTCCTTCACGTACACTTCTCTTAAGTCGAGCTGTAGCGTTCCCTCGCAATCCACATGTGGAATAATTATATTATCGGTATTCAGACAAGCCGATTTAAATTCTAATGCTGCGTTTAAGTTTCTTCTGCAAGCATTACATATAACCTCTTTGTTGTCGCCTTCAAATTTCTGGAATGTATGCAACTTTAATCAAACGGAAAGAAAATAACTGCGCCGGAAAATAAATAAGTACAATTGAAAATAGATTGTTAAGTAGCTATACACGTGTTGAGACTGTTGAGAGATGTTAATCGAGGTAGTAGAATCCAGTATATTTCACCGACTTACCAATTTCAACAAAAGAACATGCAGAATGTCTCTAGTAGCGTTGTCTACGACTTCAAAACTTTTATCGGTTGTATTTGTGCGACAAAGTGTACACAACGTTACTTGAAGACCACTCATTGCAACAATTTTCTTTAAAATGTAAATATAATATTTATACTGTGATGTACTTATTTTAACTTTTAACCTTAACTGGCCACGCGTCACCTTGAAGTTTTCTTTTTTCTTCTGCTTCTTCTTTCCTTCTCGGAAGAACATTTCCAGCTATCATCTTATAAATGATTCCAATAGGTTTATATTTCACTTCTAGGCTGTCATTCTGCGGGAAAAATCGTCCAGATGGCAATATCCACGTAAGAAGGGTGAAACTTGTTCAGCGTCTACGTAGATTCTTTGAAATCGATCCATGTTCAACCAATTTCGGAGTGGCCTGAGTTCTTTGATTTAGTTGTCTATGCGTCAACAATAATGAACTTGATTTTACAAAAAACAATGTTAGTGAATTTTAACCTAATCGTTGGTTTTGTGAGCTAAGCTGTCACGGATGACACGCGAATGAAACTACACACCAGAACGAAAGCACAGTATATATAGGGTGAATTGCGTCGATCGAGATCTAGGAAAGAACTGATCCGAAAAATTTGAAAATTTGGCAACATGTCAATGTCCCGTGGGGAGAACAACTAAAACATCTAGAACTCCAGCACTTCCGGTTATACCGGAAGTCGACACTAACTTCGTTATTTTAAATGGGACATCCTATATATTATTGCATTTTCGGATTCTACGTGAAATTTAAGGGTAACTTTATTTCTTATACCTAGGAGATTTTGAGATATTAATATTTAAAGAAAAAAATTGACAGATGCAAGGGTCCGCGGAGATGCTAGTAACTCTTTTCAGGAGCGTGATATCGAGTGGATTTTTGGTACCTGCAAAGGGCATAGGTAATGCTAAATTATAGTATACCAACAAATTAAAACATTTAATACTAGGTGTTTCGTTTTTGCTGTTACATTTTTAATGTTATAGCTGTTTGATAACTTCAAACTTTGTTAACTTAAATGGAACACCCTGTATTTTTTTACTCTGTCGTATGCAGATTGAAATTTCCTTTCAAGCCGTATAAACATTGTTAGGATTGCCGTTACTATTTTTAGATATTTGCAATTTTCTATTTTTTGACCACTTTTTCTCGTATCAGACCTGTTGTCAAGTTGGCCATGACCAGAAACACTCCAAAATGATTAAAATAAATGTCAAATTATTGTTATACCTGTAATAGTTTTTGCTGAAAATTTAAATGAAAATGCCTGGGGATCGTTTAAATTATACTTATGAGGATTATTTTTATTTCTTTATTTATGAAAAAAAAGCAGCAGATTCTCTTCATATTCCTGAAATTACTTTGTCACATTTTCCAGGAAAACTGTTGCTGGAACAGAGATCTCTGTACAACGTGAGCATCTGCATCACACAAATAGTGAATGTGAAAATTTAGTTTGCCGTCTCTAGTAAAACAACATTCATCCGTACAAAGCTCCTTGCTTGTAAAATCAGGATCTTGTGCTGTTTGATGTCGAGAAAAATGCCAAAATTCCACACAGCTAGGGCTGAAAATCATCGTTATTTAATGCTTGAACCTTTTGTACATGAAAGGGGAGTAATAGTTGTTCCTGCGGTACACGCCACACGGTACTTCTCGGCAAATGTCGCGAGTAATGTTGCAACACAGGTCGCACATGCACAAGATGCACAGTATCGATGTAAAACGTGTAATTTCAACTTTTACACGTGCTATGAATCGCGTTTAAAGTGTAGAGTCCAAATGTGATCTGTTTTGCACATTTTGAATGTTATGTAATGTTCTGCAACCACTCTGAAAGTGTAGGAATTATTAGAAAAGCAACAAAAACTATTTAAAAGTAAGTTGTATGGATGTTTCATATTGTACCACTAATTTTTGTTGGCGCCCGCTGAAAAAGTTGTGCATAATTGTTAGCCCAAATGTAAAAAAAAAAATTTAAAAGGCGCATTTTTCTCCCATTTTTTATGTATAACTTGGAGAATATTGACATTAGAGAAAATAGTCAATCGAAAAAGTTTAGTTTTGAGATTCTCTTCAAAATAAAAATGGTCCAAAATTTTTATGTGCGTTATTGTTGCTGCAATACAGTATAGAATAGACCGAAAAAAATTTGTGGAAAAAGGTATTTTTTTCATGAATTTATTTCGGACCTTGACTTTACATCCATCCCGTAACAGATACTGACTGGACAAATTTGGATTTCCATGGCAGTAACTGTTAAAGGTATTTCAAGGCGCAGATAGCCGAGATAATTAGCAGACGTAAGAGAACACTGTTACTCTTTTTTTTAATCCGAGTGGTATGAAAAATTACAAATATTTTGAAGTATACAGAACAAATACCTCCTGCTGGGGGACCACTTAGCCGGGTGTCTTAGCTCGTGGATTTCGATCTGCCGAGGTAAGCATTACGGACGCAGGCAGGAATTTGGATGGGTGACCTAAGGCAGGCTCGGGGACGTGGCTGTGGCAGCCTACCAGAGACCTGGGTCGCCCAACATTTGCCGCATGCGTGTGGTCCCCGATAAATAGTAATGAGAACAGAGCAAAGAAAATCTCTGTAACTCAAGACCATGCTATCATACATAAACTGTACCAGACTTTGCCACCAAGCCACCCGTGTAGTAAATAGGTTGGTTTGAAGAAAAGTACTCGAGTAATGAAGGAAGGAGAGTGTACAAGGGGCCTAATGAGGCCTAAGTGCCGCGGTGGAAAAACAATTCCACCACTCTCCGACATACATACATACATACCTCCTGCTGAAGAGTTGCAATATATGATAAAAAAGAGAAACATAACTGTAACATAATCTTCTCATAGAAAATGAACATTAAGATTGGTAGTGTTATACAGCCAGCCCATAGTGTAGTTAAGTTTTATTTAGTTCATTTAAGCCTACAATACACAAACTATAATAGTCTAAACTTATTTCTAGGCCTTAAAATAACATTAACAAAATACCTTCCTTTACACTTGTTGCAACTCAATTCCCTTAATAAATTAACAAGAATTATGTCAAAATTATAGATTATATATAGGTGATAATACAGGATGCTGATTTTAATCTATTAAACTTTAAGGCGAGAATAATTGGACTTGTCAGTTCCACAACAAACTGTTTTCGAGAAACAGGGTGTTAAGTCCCAAAAAAAATTTCATCAACAGTAAATACACTCTGAAATAATACAGATGTTCGAACATTTGTTTTCAGAACTCAAATATCTCTATTATTTCAGAGGGTATTTACAGCAACTGATATTTTTTGGGAATCTTTAACACTTCGTCTCGTAATCTCATAATTGATTAAAATTTCAAAATATAAGATATAGTGCTATTATTCTTGGTTATTCCATTCGCTCCCAATATTTGACAGATAAAACTGAGACACCCTGTATATAACAAAAAACATGTTCACATATTCACGATCGGTATTATATTCACACAAGTCACTCGTGAATGCCTCTATTTTTGACTACATTTTGCACTTCAGTGGATGGTAATTCACATCTGTAAACACCGGTACATTTGCATTTAAGAAGACTCTATGTGACATCGGCAATTTTTACACCTGTACATTTGAATTCGAATGATCTTTATGTTTCAGTTGGTGCTGTTTCTTGTAATCCCTGTATTCAGTTTGGTAATCGTAGTCATTATACTTGTACATTTGAACTTGCAAAGGATCATTATGCTTCAGTTGGTGTTTTTTGATAACTTTTCTGTGTTTAGTTTCGTAATCACAGCTAGTTGTTACACCTGTACATTTGAATCTCCGAAGGATTTTTATGTTTCAGTTGGTGTCGTTTGACATTCTTCTTGTATATACTTTTGAAATCGCAGTCATTACACCCGTACATTTGAAGCTGTGAAGGATCACTATGCTTCACTTGGTGCTTTTTGATATCTTCCTTGTGTTTAGTTTCGTATTCACAGTCATTACATCTGTAAATTTGAATTTGCGAAGGATCTTTATGTTTCAGTTGGTGTCGTTTGACGTTCTTCTTGTATATAGTTTTGAAATCGCAATCATTACAGCTGTACATTTGAACCTCTAAAGGATCATTATGTTTCAGTTGGTGCTCTTTGATATCATCCTTGTATTTAGTTTCGTATTCACAGTCATTACATCTGTAAATCTCAACCTGAGAAGGATCTTTATGTTTCAGTTGGTGTCGTTTGACATTCTTCTTGTATATAGTTTTGAAATCGCAGTCGTTACACCTGTATATTTGAACATGTAAAGGATCGTTATGCTTCAGTTGGTGCTTTTTAATATCTTTCTTGCATTTAGTTTCGTAATCACAGTCATTACACCTGTACATTTGAATCTGTGAAAGATCAACATGCTTCAGTTGGTGCTTTTCGATATCTTTCTTGTATTTAGTTTCGTAATCACAGTCACTACACTTGTACATTTGAACCTGTGAAGGATTATTATGCTTCAGTCGGTGCCTTTTGATATTTTTCTTGTATTTCGTTTCGTAGTCACAGTCATTACACTTATACATTTGAACCTGCGAAGGATCTTTATGTATTAATTGGTGTTTTTTGATATAGCAACTGTACTTAGTTTCGTAATCACAGTTGTTACACCTGTACATTTGAACTTGTGAAGGATCTTTATGTTTCAGTTGGTGCCGTTCAATATGATTCTTATATTTAGTTTTGTAATCGCAGACGTTACACCTATACATTCGAAACCGCGAAGGATCTTCACGTTTCAGTTGGCGTTGGATGACACTGTATCTGGTTTCATCATCACAGTCGTTGTACGTTTGAATCTGTGAAGGATCCTTATGTGTCTGTAGGTGTTGTTTGATATAACTCTTGTATTTAGTTTCATAGTCACAGTCTTTACATCTGTACATTTCAATCTGCGAAGATTCTTTATGTTTCAGTTGGTGTCGTGTCAAAAACTTTCTGTATTCAGTTTTGTAATTGCAGTAATTACATCTGTACACTTCAATCTGCGAAGGATCTTTATGTCTTTGTTGGTGCTGTTTGATATAACTCTTGTATTTAGTTTTGAAATTACAGTTTTTACAGCTGTACATTTCAACCTGTGAAGGATCTTTATGTTTCAGTAGGTGCCGTTTGATAACGCTCCCGTATTTAGTTTCATAATTGCAGTCGTTACACCTGTACATTTTGACCTGCGAGGGATCTTTATGTACCAACTGATGTTGGATTAAAAGTCTCTTATTCACTGATTCGTAGTTGCATCTAGCACATTTATAAATTGGCTGTTGTGAAGCGTCTTTATTTGTCGAAGAGTTGTCTTTGGTTTTATGGCAATACTCATCACATTTGTTTGATTTTTTGTGTTTATTGAAGCTAGTCCTCAACTTTGTTTTGAAATAACAAAAGTCGCACTTGTACACTCGTGCATCGGAGGCACTTTTGTGTTTCACCTGATGCATAACAAGGTCGGACCTATACTTTGTCTTGTAGTTACAGAACTGGCATCGATGCAAATGCATTTTCGAAGAATCTTTATGTCTAAACTGGTGCCTTTCAAGTAATTTTTTATTTTCAGTTTCATATTCACAGGATTCACATTTATACACTTCCAAGCCGTTTTTGTGTCTTGCATGGTGTGCTGCAAAACAGGTCTCGCATTCAGTTTCGTAAATACATTTATCACATTTGTACAATACTTTGCGCTCCTGCTTGACTTTCGTATTACATTCGTTTGCTGATCCATCCTCATGTTTACAATCGTTCTTATCGTATGGTCCAATATCAGAGCTCAGCGTGTCGCTAAAAAAATTTAAGAATTTAATAATATGTGTTAACCGTTTAACACTATACACTGATTCAATTGTATAATACTAATGAAAAAATAGACTTTTCTTACCTCTTTTCTCTATCTTCTGATTTTATATCAACATATTCTTCTTTAATTGCCAATTCCATTTCGTTAATATCAAATTCTTTGTGCAAGTTTTCAGTTTTAACAAATAAATAACATGATGATATATCTTTTGAACTTCCTGGGTTTGAATTATCACAATTTTTTTCTTCTATTTCCATGCAATGTTTTAGGAAACTGTTGTGGGTATACAGAGAATCACAGCACTTCTTACATAAAATGTGATCTTTGACGATACTTCCAATCTACAAAACACATTTTTTTTAATTGTGAAAAATGCAAGCATTTAATAACATTCATACCATTTCAGGAGCCAATTTCTGAATAGCTTCAAGTTCCTCTTCACGTATGCACCTAAACTCACTTTCTACTGGCTGCATGCACAATCGACATATTTTCTGGTTGTCTGAAATATCCATCAATTCGGTTCTCTTTTCCCTCATGTAGAGTTCTCCTAAGTCGCGTTGTACCATTTTTTCACTATTCACATATGGAATAATTGTGTTATGGGTATTCAGACAATTTGATTTAAATTCTGATGCTGCATATAATTTTCTTCTGCAAGCGTTACATATAACCTCTTTGCTCTCATTATTCAATTTCTAAAATACATGCAAATTTCATCAAACGCAATGAAAATAACAATGTCAAAAAGCAACAATTGAGTAGTAAAAGGATTAGTATTCGCTTTGCACGTGTTGACACTGTTGAAAAGTGTTATGTTAATTGAGATGGTAGAATCCAATACGTTTCACCGACTTACCAATTTCAACAAAAGATGATGTAGAATGTCTCTAGTAACGTTGTCTATTACTTTAAAACTTTTATCAGTTACAGTTTTAAGGCAGAGCCTACACAAAATTTCCCGAACACCACTCATGACAGCAATTTTCTTTAAAACGTAAAATAAGCATCGAAGTTGGGTGTATACACATTATAACCTCAATTAACATCAAGTGAATAGTTTTGGGTCTTCTTCTTCTTCTATCCTCGGAACAACAAGATGGTAAAACATGTTTAATGTAAATTATATATACAATATTATATTAGTTTAAATAACAAATTGCCGCCATTTCAGGCAGTTTTCTTAGATCGGAGGGCGTTCACCACACAGTGCCCCCTGGCGGCGGACTGCTTAACTTGATTAGAAGTAAATTTTACAAAATTAATGTTTAGTAACCATAAACTTGGAAGTTACTTACTTATGGAAATTAAATATACATACAAAATAAATCCTTTACTTACCATGTTTATTTCACGTTGATATCCAAATCGCATATTAGCTTCGAGTATATACTACTGGAGGTAGCTTGCCATTGCGAAAAGTGTGGTTGTGTGCGAGAGAGACAGACATGGTGTCTCACTCCAGCACGCACGCAATTGGTTGGAAATGAATGCTCGCGTTCATTGGCACCCGTCATTGAAGTGAAGAATATTATAGAATGTTAATGATATACAGGGTAGCCCATCGAAAACGTACCGCGCGCCATTATTCTATGGCTAGAAATTGGCCTCAATGATTTGGGATCGAGGGGGATTATCCCTCTTTATCCTGCCTCATCTCGTGTAGGCCTGGACAGCCTTCGTAGGTGGGCCCCATCCGTCGTCTACCCCGACCGCAAATGCGGCCGGTGTAGGCGCTTTGTGGGACCTCCTTTTGTCCTGGCTGGGCCCCGCCGGCTAGGGCCCTTTCTTCTGGCGCTCTTCTTGCTTCGCCGGCTCGTCTGTGTAAACCCCGGGGGTAGTGTCATGTTTATGTGTGGTATGGTTGGGTAGGGTAGTGCGGCTATGCAGCCTGGGATGCGCTTTGCTAAGGTGGCCCTTAGGC